TAGAGTTCTTGCTATTTAATTTCGTAAGATAGTTACGATATAATGGTAACATTCTTCGATTGGTTGATAGTCAAAATTTACCAAAATAAAACGAAACAAACTTTTTCTCATAGACTTAGCACAGAGTGATCAACTAGGTGTTTTTATTTAACGAAATCTCAAAATTATATGTCTTTATTTCCTTTAAAATTAATCTTAATTGTTCAAAGTATTTATTATACACAAATAAAATGTGAAAAACCATCGAAATTTTTAACAGTGATAACTTTGCTACAATATGGTGATAAATTCTGATTGTATTAGTAAATGATTGATACTTGTAAAGTACGGAGGTAACTTTACAATGCAGGCACTCAAGCTAATCAGAAAGTGATCGAAACTTTGACAGGCGTTAAATTTCCTTTGGCAATAATTTCGTGATAAATTTTGCCTGTAACAGTACGGAAATGATAGCAAATAGTATCGCAATCCAGCATAGGGGTTCATTTAAAATTTGAGTGCTCTAGCTAGTTATTTACTCTCCCCTTAAAAAAAGAGGAGGGCACCAGGCGAGGACGACCTACAAATCAAGTAAGTTGGCATGTTTGGATGTAATGTTCCCAGAGGAGAAAATGTGTTAACACTACTTTACCAGAACAAAGCAAGTAAGATAAATGCTACCAACAACATTTAATGTCGTGAGGAAATTAAAACGAATGAGGAGAAATGATGAGACATATATTATCACTCAGTAAATTTTAAGATATCAAACTGTAGTAAAAAATCTTTAAAATAGTAAGAACATGTAATAGTTCAAACAGCAATATCTACAATAAAATTTAAATTTATGCATCTTATATAAATAAATTCTAAAATTTTAAATTGACTGAAAAAGTGGATTTTCTTATTAATACAATTTTTATTTATTTAGGGTGACCCGGGGTAATTCTTGATCAAAAAATGCAGACATCTATTTTGTGAAAAAACTATTCAAGATAGAATTTTAATATTTACTGGAAGTTTGAGGCTATATGAGATGAGTCCTATGCCTCCTTCTTTTGTTTGAAAATCNTATTCCTTAATTTTTAATTAACTTTTCATATTCGAAGATATTTTCATGTAATAGTTCTCATGAAGTACGATACAAAATAATCAACACAAGAAATAAATTGGAAAATCGAAAATGACAAAAGCGTATTTGAATAATTATCCCAGATAAAATTTCTCCCTATTAATAAATACGAATTTCTAAAAATTCAGACACAAAATGCGAACTCCCTCAGACACTACTAAATTAAATTTGTTCGTCTAGATAATATCTTTATTTATTGCTAAATTCCTAAGTAAATTTTGATATTCAAAGCTATTAAATTTTGATATCGAAAGCTATTTTATAATTCGAATGTGGGACGATATAAAATTCTGAACACAAGAAATAAATCTAAAAACCGAAACTTATGAAGAAAACTTGTTTGAATATTTATAACAGATAAAAAGTCTCACTACTATAAAAACAAACTTCTAAGAAATTGAGAAACTAAATCCCAACTACCTTAAAAACTACTTGCTTGCTTCGTATGCCTGTTAAGGCAAAGGGGTACGATTGTTCTTGTTTTCCACTGCGCCATCTATGGCCGAGAATTCCGACTTCTGCCACACACGTTTATAGAGCGGACCCATTCATACTTGATCTGAATCAGAGAACCATCTATCTCCAATCCAGTACCCTCAGAGGTATTGATTTGTTATGGGAACATGGAGGACTTTGGGACTCTTCAGAGATTTAACGTGCATCAGTCACCATTTACTACACGGGGAGTCTGCGGCCAGCAGGGTTCGAACCCACGAACTCTCGGACATGGGCCCAGAGCCCTACTGACCCGGCCCTTAAAAGCTACTAAATCAAATTTATTCCTCTAGAGCAGTGATTCTGAACCTTTTTTTTTGTTGCGGCACACTTTTAACGATTTCGAAATTTGACGGCACACAATGAAAAAAATTAGATTAAAAGTTGGCTAATTACCTATTTTACACTGGGTTAAATAGTTTGTGATCATAATTTTGAATGTGAAATAAAATAATATGTACTACAAAAGCACATTTATTAAGGGATTCATTATTTCTTTGGACCCAATTTTTTATAAGTTAGTAACAGTTATTTATTTTTTTGCTAGTTATTAATTGTTAGCTTGTTTTCTATAGTTATTAACTGTTATTTTTTTGTGATTTCTTGTTCACTAGTTTTTTTGCTAATTATTAATTGTTAGCTTAATTTTTGTTAGTTATCCTTTGTTAATTTGCTTTTTATATATTTGTTATTTTAGTTATCCTTTGTTAATTTGTTATTAATTGTATAGCTTACTTTAATGATTAGCTCTTACAACATTTTTTAAAATTCTGTGTCATATACAATTTAAACACTTCCATCTTATCTTAAGATTGTCAGAGACAATACAATCGCCGACTAAGATGTTCACGCGGTAAAAGCGTGGAAAATTATAAAAAGTATTATATATATACACTTTTCTTTAATTTAAACTTTACTCATAATTAAAAAAAAGCATTACAATTTTTATTGTATCATTTCTAATGTTTGGCGGCACACAAAACTGCCGCTGCACAGTGGTTGAGAATCACTGCTCTAGAGTCTAGATTATATATTTATTTATTGTTTAATTCTTGCTTAAAGTTTGACCTTGAAAACTATTTTTATGCTATTATTCTTATGTAATACGATAAAAAAAATCTCAATAAAATAAATAAATTTGAAAATTGAAAAGCGAAATAAATTTGAAAGTTCAAAAACGAAAATTTCTTTGAATATTTATCATCAAATAATGCTATTCAAAATTTGAATTTTGAGAACACAAAGAGGCAAAATAAGAGTAATTTTTCTTTATTTGTCATACAAACCAATACAGTCAAATAACACATCTCTAAATAAATAGCAGTAACTGAAGTACAGAATTTGTTCTTAACTATTATATTTCACATAAAGGGCAAACTCTCTGCTCATATAAACTAGAGTGAAAAACTTGTAAGATTTATTTACACTTAAACTTTAATATTGCAAATATATTTGGGAGATAAAAACACAATTAAAATCTTGAAACCATGAGAAATTAAAATTCAAATGTAATCTGTGCTTGCTTCATAAAATGATATAATGTACCTACATATTGATAAGACGACAAATTAAACACCTAAGTTTTTTTAAAAAATTTAACATCTAAAAAAAATTTAATTTTTAACTCTAGTTTAAGTTATAATTCTGGATATTCAATCAAGTGATAGTTACATCACTTTGCAACATTTAAATGTTGTAGTAAATAAATTTTTACAGTTTAAATATGGACATTTTCCAAGTGTAAAAATTTTGCATCAACATAAATGACCCCTTGTTGCATTTGAAATGTAACACTAATTGGAAGAATAATTTGGGAAGTAAAAAATTATAATTAAGAAAAGAAAAAAAAAGTGTTGAAGAATTTCACCTTTTCTGAACATGTTGGGAAGAAGGTTTAATTTTTCTTTTTTTGCCCCTGTAATTCTTATTGATTATTTTAAATGGCTTTTTCTTTGCAAGAATGTAAGCATTTAAGAGTTCTTTTCAAGCAAAAAACAGCTTATTAACTTGAATTATACAGTACACTCTCAATATTTCGAAAACCTTATCTTGTTACACCAAAAAAATATTTTTCCTCAAGGCATTATATACTCTCCGAAGAGTTTCCTCTCAAAACCCTGTTAAGTTACATTTTTTCCTAATAGCAATTAAATTTGTTAGGAAAAATCACAAAGTAAAATTGTTTTCTATTCAATGCATAATTATTTTTGTTTTACCTTTAAAAATAAAATTATCATTGTTGTATTTAGACTTATAGTCAACTATCATTACATACATATTTAAAAGTAATTATTCTTATGTTTCATAAGTTTACTTTTTAGAGTATATTTTTCTACTTTTTAGAACATATTTAGTTCTAAACATGTTATCTCGAGAACTCGCTCTCTCGAAATATTTTTTAGCGTCCCTTCAACTTTGTGACATCAAGAGTATACTGCATTAACTTATGGAGAATCATATAAATACTGTTTTCTATTTATTAAGTAATAAATAATTTTAGATATTTTTATTTCGTTTTGTTCCTTAAAATGTATTCTATTGAATCTAGTTAACTAAACTTTAAGGAAAGTTATATTAAAAAATTTTTAAAACTTCAATGAATCTGAAGCAGTTTTAAAAATAATTACAACTATTGAATTAAATTCATTCAATACATTTTAATAAATAAGATTAAAAAAATATTAAAATATATTTTCTAGTTATAAACAAAATAAGAAAATTGTATTCATATAATTCTCCATAGGTAATACGAAGGGAATGGAATCACTTATCTGTGTAGAGAGAAACCAATTTCTCTGGATAAAATGAAAGAAAAAATATTCAGAAATATTATTTGGAAACAAAAAAATAAGTAAATTGCATTTATATAATTATTCATGAAGGAAATAATATCTTTTATCTGTATAGAGGAGAAAACATTTCAATGAATAAAATGAAAGGAAAAATATATAGAAAGATTATTTGGAAACTAAAAACACAAAGAAATTGCATTTATATATTCCTCCATAGGTTGGTAATATGAAAGAAATAGAATCACTAATCTGCACAGAAGGGGGAACACATTTCAATGAATAAAATCAGAGAAAAAATATTCATTGTGTTCATATAATATGAAGGAAATAGAATCACTTATCTGTAAGAGGAAAACCTGTTTAGATGAATAAAATGTAAGAAAAAAATATTCATAGCATTATTACAATATGAAGGATAGAGAATCACTTAATTGTATGAATGAGAACACCTTTAGATGAATAAAATGAAAGAAAGAATATTCAGCAGTACTATATAGTAACTTAAAAAACAAGAACATTGTGTTCATATAATTCTTCATTGACTAATATAAAAAGAAACAGAATCACTTTTCTATTTGGGAAGATTGCCAAAGATTTTATTAGATTGACGACAAGCCTTCATCTGTATGAACACTGCGAACATGTTTAACTAAAGTATGTTTTACGGAAAAACGTTTATTGCACAATTTACAAGAATAAGGTCTTTCACCGGTATGAGTGCGACTGTGACGAACCAAACCAGCTCGTGCCGTAAAACTCTTATTACATATATTGCAAGAGTAGGGTTTTTCCTTAGTATGAATACGCATATGGATATATAAGGTAGTTTTGCGAGAAAAACTCTTATTACATACAGCACACGTATAGGGTTTGATCTTAGTATGAATCTGGATATGAGTTTGTAAGCTACCCCTTTGTGCAAAACTCTTATCGCACATTGTACAAGAAAATGGTTTTTCCTTCGTATGAACATTACCGTGAGTTATTAAATTACATTTTTGCGAAAAGCTTCTGTTACATAGGGGGCAAGAGTAAGGTTTATCATTACCATGAACAGTTCGATTGTGTTGAGTTAAACTCTTTCTCACAGTAAATCTTTGGTAACACACACTGCAAGAATAAGGTTTTTCTCCAGTGTGAACACGGGAGTGAGTAATAAACTCACTCCTGAACTTAAAACTCTTATTACAAGGCTTTCCTCCAACGTCAGCAGTACACAGAAAGGCTGCGTAAGTTTTTGGCACAGGTTTTTTTTCCATTCTGAAAAAACTCTCTTTAAGCGTAATCAATGAGCTACACTTAAAGTTCAGTATCAGCAAATGCTAGCAATAAAGATCTGTTGGATAACCAATATCAAGATGAAGCTTAAAACTGAGGAAAGATTAAATGTTTTGTCTTTAAAATATAGTAGAAAAAACATTAAATCTATACCTTTTGAATATATGAAGAATTGTACACAAGATCCACACTACAAAGTCCGACACATTTAGTCCTTTGACAATTTAAGAAGCTTGTAATAAATTCTGACGAAAATTGCAAGTGTGCATACTTAAAATACACATCAAATACATTAATGAATGTCCAAATTAATAAGCTGTGATATTTTCATTGCACTATTAAGTCAGGAAGAAGCTAATTTTCGCAGTTAAATCAGAGTTTCGTAATGGAGATGGCCAGTGAAATGGAGTTTTGCATTGGAGAAGATTAAGCAAAAAGCAATTTTAAAGAAAATTTATGTTTCAAAGCTCTAAGCCTGTCCAAGAATTTGTCACATCCCAAATTGAATAGGCTCTAAAAAGAAAGAAAAGAAAATATTTCAAACAAAACTAGAGTAAAAAAACACAAAGAGAAAAAGAAATGTTGAAAGCAAGTCAAATAAAAATAAGATATAACACAGGTTTTAACAATTTATTTAGAACATTAACGACACCTCAATAAAAGAAACACCTCATACTCTCTAATAAATAAGAAGGTCTGAAGTCAGACGAGAATCTAGAAAGAGCTTAAGAGTTATTTAAGAATTCCTTGCAAATTTCTAAATCTTAAAAACGAACCTGCATGAAAATTCGAGCCTTTAGAAAAAGATTCTTCACAAAATTCTAAACCACCTAATATGGACAAAGTTCTTAGCTTTGAAAACCATCCTCTCACAAAGTGTAACCTATTAATAAATATACATTCAAAGAGAGCAGAAAAACTTGTATAAGAAGGAAATTCAGTAATTTTTTTAACTACAAACAATGGATAAATTAGTAGCTGTTCTAATTTTTTCAATATTAAAATAAGGATTAGCATCAATTAAATCGCTTTATTTTCGTAAAAATTTCAGTGATTTAATTTAACCTGATTTTTATTTATAGATCTCATTGAATAATGTCATCATATTTTCAGCATTATTTACAATAATATTTTTAATATAATTTATATAGTTTTTAAGATGCAATTTCCTTCTTAGAGTCATTAATATGAAACAATGAAGGTATGTAAATTACTATTTGATGGTTAAAACAGACTAATAAATAAAAAAAGAGACAGGGAATTAATGTCGTAAAAATAATTTGTGAAACTTTCAAATCATAATATTCCATTATGAAAATAAAATAATTTGTCATTTAACAAACAAATTTCAACTATACTCATTTAGTTGTATTTATCTTGAAAGAACGGTACAGTACAGAACCCGTTATCCGGAAATCAGAAAACCGGAAAACCAAAAAACCGGAACGAAATTCGATTAGTTTTCCCGTCATTTTTTAAAAAAAAAAATTTTTTTTCTTCATAAGATTTTAGGATTTTTCGCTCTTTTTTGAATTCGAAATAATCATTAGTGTATTACTTCATCGTTTTTTCTTCTTTTTAAGATTATTTCCATTTTTTCTTTTTTAGTTGGGTTTAACTATAAAAAAAACGGCTGTTTGTAGCGATTCAGAAAACCGGAAAAATCAGTTATCCGGAATATCGATGGTCCCGATCGTTCCGGATAATCGGTTCCCTACTGTACAACCAAGATAAAATTAAAATCTGATTTAATTTTGACCTATATAAGTTTATTCTTTCGGTGAAACATTTGGTCTTTATTTAAACAAATTGATGATAGTGTTGAATAAATATATAGATGATTTCATTTATGTAATTAGTTTAATATTAATTAATGATTTTAACCATTAGAATTAGAAATATAAGTTCATTAAATATAATATTATATTGCTTTTAAATATTATTACACACAGCAACAATACAATTTATTAGTGTTTTAATTTACAACAAGTATGCAAAAAAAAAAAATTCATGATTTTGCTAATAGATTTAGGTGTTTAATTCAGCATGTTGAAGGTAAACGAACATATGTATCCCAAATGTTCAATTTTTCAAGTGTATCAGTTGAATGATTCTTTAGTTTCATGTTTATCATTGTGCTTGATTTATAGAGAAATGTTAGGCATTAGCTAATACATTTGTCCTTAATATTCTTTCAAGATTTGCAAGATACTGAAGAGTAGAAAAGATGAGGGGGATGCTGACATGGAAACTAGTTTATCTCCCCAGATGGAAGATCCAAGTGTAGTGACTACAAATTGCCGCTACACCTAAGAAATTGTTGCAGATCTATTTTGTGGATAGTCATTAAAAAAAGGATACTTCTCAAAATTTGTCCAGTTTTTAAAATTATAACAATTTTACAATCTTATGAAAACAGTCATCATTAAGTACTACAATTAAAAAATTAAAAAATTATTTAAAATATACATTAATAATATAAGGTAGTTAAGAAGAGCCATTAACACTACATGCGAAAAAGAAATTGCAAATTTGGAAGTTGCCAAAAAAACTTGTCAACTACTTTTGGTGCAGGAACTAATAATTATTTACTTATTATTTTTTTTTAAAAAAAAAACATTTTAACAGCAGATACTGAACTTACGTTCTTCACCCCGGAAGTGTTGCTCATTTAGCGTTACCCAGTAGACACTTGTGAACCATCACCGAGGCTAGCAACATTACTCACGCCACAGATAACTGTTCATAAATGGGCCACATTCACACCACAGGAAACAACACACAGAGAGAAACACCCATGCCCCGAGTGGGATTCGAACTACAAACTATTGACCTCAGAGTCAAGCACATTGAATGCTTGGCCATCTGGCCAGCACAGGTATTAATAGGGATATCCTTTAAAGATATTTGTGGAGCAAGAGAATATTCTAGTTAATTTTTAGTGCAAATTTCAGATGAATTAATTACAAATAAAAAAAAATCAATATATAACATAACTGCTCTTCTGAATATATTACAGAATATTTCCAAAACGTGATCTGCCACATCAACTACGATCGCCAAGGTGCCAAACTAATTTTCAACAGGAACGAATTCCTTAAAAAAAAAAAAAAAACAAGTCGATATTCGCCTGGGGTGGCTACGAGTTATGTCCTTTGAGTTGGTCCTGTTTTTGTGACATTTTACCCAGAAGTTTGCGGTGGAAGAGCCAGCGGAGAAATTATTTACTTCTACTTGTTTTGTGATAAAATACCCTTATTTGAGAAATTTTACAATTTTTATTAATTGTAAAGTCTCTTAATTATCGTTTATAAATGTATACTAATGTATTAAAATGAATTTTTTGTTATAGTTTTTGTATTTTGTCATAATCGTTTACAAATTAAATTTACTAAAAATTATATAACGAATTTAAATTATATGGGGAACATGCACCTTATTTTAAATTAATTATAATTTAAATATTACCACCTTAATTATGCAGTCAAAAAACGCTCCATAAAGTTTCTGCATGTTTTCTAAACAAAACAAAATAATCCATATGATTGTCTCACTCCACTGAAAAAGATAGTTGTTGATGACCAACACCGTTCATAAACTGTGCCATCAGAAAACGGGCTTGTGAGCGGGCAATACGCCCGGGCTGAACTAGTGACAGTTTATCCCACGCACCAAGCCAATACTTATCCTATAATTAATCAAATGTTGTGAATGGGGTCTATTACTTTGTGTTAAGTGTCATTATACTGCATACTTAAAAGCTGAGCTTCTAAATATTTCTGCTATATTAAAACTTTTAAATTATAAGCACAACTTCTAAAAGTGGATATTCTTTTAATATAATTAACAATAAATGCACACTTTTTCATACTGCACACTTTTTCATACATTAATATTATTTTAAGCATGTATACATACCAAATATATTATTTGTAACGCTTCTGAATGATTGAATAACCACAAAATAAGAAGGAAAAAAGCATACAACACATACACTTCTGAAGTAAAGTGACAGTTTTACATTCTTCATTTAACGAAAAAATTTTACTAGTCATTAAAATTAGATGTTAATAAATATATTTGTTGAAGCACAAGACAGAAAAGCGAAAAAGCGCGATTTCTCCAACTCTTTTTGTTGGTAAACAATACTGATATAAAACGGTTACGATTAAAGTTAATGTCTCAGAAATATGAACGAGGAATTGATTGACGGGTTTTTCGCAGGTAAATATTTTCCCCCAATCAAGTGCTCGTCTGCATACGAAAGTAATGCATCCAGTGTGAATGCTCTTTTGGGAACTATTTTAGCCTCCTGCTGGTAATGTTTGATAGGAAACAAGAATGAAAGTATTTTTGAGAGGGTCACTTTGATACTTCTCTCGCCGACCTTCGTAAAAACGGGTATATTTAGTTGATTTCCCTCATTTAAAAGTCCCCCGTTGAACTAATAATAATGAAACGGTTCCCAGTAAAACATCGAAGTCAAGTCTAGAATCACTGACTGCTTTGATCATCCTGCGTACGAACCTAGGGTGGGTGCTATCGGTCTTCGTTTAACTGTACTACCGTAACGTGCTCTCAGGTCGTCGAGCTACTTAAAATTGTGATGACATGTCTTTGGATCATCCTTAGGGATATTTCTCTGACCGTCACCAATAACTATTTTTTATATTTTATATCCGTCGTTGAACAGAACTTCTAATGTTCAACTCCGTAGCCTTGTAATTTTGAACCAATCCAGAAGATTGTTGTTGTTCATTTACGTCGCACTAGAGCTGAACAATGGGCTAGTGGCAACGGCCTGGGAAACATCCCTGAAGATGATCCGAAGACATGCCATCACAATTTTGATCCTCTGCAGAGGGGATGGCACCCCCGGCGGGGCCGTCTTAATAGCATGCCGGACCCCCGGGCAAAGAAATGTTTTGGGCCTGTATAACACGTCATACTGCTTAAAATCGAACTAAAGAACTTCACATTCATAAAATAAAGCATTTTTAACATATGCAATATTTTGAACAAGTTTAAATATATTTTGATTTAAATGAATTTAAATTTGTTTTTAGTAAACCCAAAAAAGCTGAATTCACATAAAAATTTCATTGGAACGTATATAAATTGATTTCGGTTGATTCAAATTATTGTTGTTTGCAAGATAATCAATCACTGTTTGTAGAAAGAAAAACAAAATACACACTTTCTAGAATATAATATATTTATTTTAAAAATATATATAAGGTAATTTTGCTCAGTCTTATTTTTTTTTTAATTAAATTTATAAAAAGTAAGACTCTCAGGACCCTCGGGCACTGCCCGGGTGTGCCCATGCGTAAAGACGGTACTGACCCCCGCTTTGGTAGCCCGACGATCTCGACGCGAAGTCGAGCACTTTACGGTAGAACAGTTAAACGAGGACCATTACCGCACACCCTCTGTCCCTACGCAGGCTGATCCAAGTGGTCACCCACCCGCACACTGACCGTAGCCAGTGATGCTTGACTTCGGTGATCTGCTGGGAACCGTGTTTTAATAGTCCAGAAGACGATGAAACTAATGGATCAGTACCCCCAAAGGTATTGATTTGTTTGGGGAACATGGATGACTTTGCGACTCGACAGATTTAACGTGCATCAGTCACCATTTACTACACGGGGAGTCTTCGGTTGGCGGGGATCGAACCCACGAACTCTTACCAACCAGGCTATCCCAGCCCCTCGCCTATCACTATTATGCAGCTCCAGTACAACGTAAATAAAGTAACTACTTATCCTATTATAGTCACCAAGATATTTGGCTATGCTTAGAGAGTAGATAGCCAAGTCAACGAACAACCCATTACGTCATATCGACGGTGTTACTTTATAAACATCAGTAACAGCTAAGCATGAACTTGAGAATGCATCATTAATTTTTTTGTGTAAAGGTAAATTAAAGGCATACATTTTATTGAGAAAAAGTATGTGTTTGAAATTTTATTATAAAACTGCTCAAACAATTTCTAATTTTATTTAAACAGATGGAACTATCAATTAGCTCTCGCTATTTGTTTGCGCTCCATCAATTCGCAACATTCCTTTTATTAAATATAATACTTGTTTGAAAAATAGTTTAAATTTTAGTTGATGATTCTATTAAATATCTTTTAAAAGTGCATAAATATAAAAAAAGTAGTGTTTCTTTTTCATTTGTTAGAATAAAATGTTGCAGTTGGCGTCAAAGAAAAATAATCTTTTCATTATTAAATAAATTTTTGTATGAAACAAATTTTACTTTAACAAGTTTGTTATTGAACAATTGATTAGGGTACATTAAGAAAAATATTAGCAATACCGAGAGCAATAGAACTTAAACCTATTTCGGACACTTAACCTTACAAAAGTACTTCTCCCAGGTCACATCGCCCATGGATAGAGTCCTTTCTGGGGAGTTTATCAAACATGACAGTGGATACATTAAATGCATTTTGTTTCGTGATTTTTTAAATCAGCACCACGACCCATAATCAAGCCTCTGTCAGATTGTTTAGGCTACTCTTAGGAGAATTTCATCACTTGTTATGGAGATTCACCTGCATGATTGCTTATTGTAATCGTTCAATTCACCTATATTTTATTTTATTACAAAAGGGAATTGAAATTTCTATTTGTCAATGTGAAATATATGCAACTGGTTTTTCTTTATAATAGAAGTTGTTCCTGCAATGTGTGGCAAATGAAGGCATTTCTTTGTAAGGTTTCTGCTATCTCTGTATCCCCTGGAGCACAATGCAACATTTTTAAATAGCTCCGTCTGGGGACATCATTAAATTTTTTTTTTCTTTTGGCAAAAATGCAGAATACGAGCAAAAGTGATTAAAGGATGTCAGTTATCAGGGTTGCCACTCAAATCTGGAGAAAAAAAATTCCCTTGTACATATTCAGGGTGGCCACTCAAATGAAGTTTCAAATTTCCCTGATTTTTCCAGTAAAAATCTAAAAATTTCCAGGTCAGCGTATTTTTTTTTTCTCTGCTCAAGTGTAGTATAGATACAAGAAAAGTGTCAATATTAGTGTATTAGTCAATATAATAGTGTAGTATTTCATTTAAATGTTATTTTTTTAATGTATCATCTTGAATAGATGTGAGGAAACAATATGTTAAACTTGCAGAAAATAATGCTTTCAATGAAAAAAAAATTTTTTTAAGTGTTAAATAGTTTTTGCACAAAATGTACCAAATATCAATGACCCAAAACAACCTTGGATAAGTCCTGTTTAATATATTTTTATTAAGCAAAAGAAAATATTTCCAGATGATTAGAAACCAATTAAATTTTTATATTTATTTGCAATTCAATATAGAGTCATTTATTTTATTCAAACAGTGCTCTTTATAAAATTCATTGAAATAATTTTCTTTGAACCAATATCATAAGTAAAATGTTTAAATAATGTTGTTTGTTTCAAATTAGCACTATTATTTTAAGAGATATTCAGTATTCGTAAAGGAAAAATTGTCAAATTTCTTGCTGCATATTCTATAGAAAAAATTGAAATTAGAATATATTAAGAATTCCTAGTTTATCCATCTGGTTGCCCAGCTTGAAACCTGTTCGTGTACAGTGCAGAACAGAAAAACAAAGTTTTGTTTTCCTTCTTTCCAACAAACAAATATAAATAAATAAAAAATTTCGCATTTAACATGTTTTCCACACAAAAGGAGAAACAGTTTCGGAAATATCAAAATAAAAGTTATCATGAAATCCAGAAAATCAGCATCAATTGTAACATTTTGCTAGTAGCGATTGGTTGGCTTTGCTGAGAAAAATAATGCATATGAGTACAAAAGTTTTCAGAAAAAGGGTGCAAGATAAAATCTCTAAATTATAAGCAATAATTTTTTGAAGAATTTTATAAAGTTAAATATACTAAAGCATTTTGAATAATTTTGTTAAAAGAAAAAAATATCCCTAAAGCATTGGGATAAACTTGAACAATTAATTAATTCAGCCCACGGACTAAAAGAAGATTTTTAAAAAAAATTCGACTTTATGAACAGAAGCAAATATCCTAATCCTTTCTTCCACATCCACCACATTTTTGCCTTTCCTAAACTGCTTAGTCCCATATTCTCCAAAGAGATCAAAGATTTCTCCGTTCATTTCTGAACATGGAAGAGTTTGAAATGGCATTCTAGTTAAACAGGGTAATAATGAAGAGAATTTTAATGCAAGAAAAGAATTGCTGAGCTGATGACATTTCAACTTTTTCATGATCAATTTATGTCTAAATAAAAGTGGATATAACGGATGGTAAAATAATTTAGATTAAGAGAAAAATTCCTGCTTTTCTTTGAAATTCCCTGATTTTTCCAAATTTCCCTGACTTTTCCAGTATAAAAAAAATTCCTTGATAATTCCAGGTTTTCAAGGTGGGTGGCCACCCTGATATTATACACAATATATTAAGAGGAAATACTTAATCATTGTGCTCTTGAGTAAGCTAGATAAGGCTAACTATACTAGTTTTAATTGTTGGAAAAACTTAAAGAAATAAGGAACTGCTTAACATACTTAAAACAAATAATGGTATAGTTAGTGGAATAGTTTAGTATAGCTGAAATATCCCATCGATTGCGCTTAAGTGGTCACCCCTTTAAAAGACGAAAATAGGAAATTAAATTCCCTGTATTTTACCAGTTTGATAGAAAAAGCTCAAAATTCCCTGCATTTTCTGTTACTTTAGGTGATTTTTAAATCTCCTGCATTTTCCATGTTTTTCCTGTTTTGTTTCAAATACAGAGTGGAAACCCTGCTTATTTAAGAAAATCATAACAGCTATCTGAATACTATCCATGCCTGGTCATTGCATCTAACGTTTGGTTATTTATTTAGTGCACTCTGAATGGAAACAAATTTACAAGTTTTAAAATAAGATAGACAGATTTATGTAAGATAATTTGAGAGTCCGAGTTGATAATTTGATGTCAACTCCATTTTCGCAATAAAAATACGTGAACGTTTCAATAAAGGCTTTAAATATTTTTTGATACAGGAAAATCTATTTGAAAGCATGAAAGAACTGGGGACTAACGTTCAAAATTAAGAGATCCGTAATTTTTCCTTTAGAAAAAAGTGTGTGAGTCAGGCTGAATAGTTGCGTTGAATCCCATGTATTTTAACATGTTGAAACAAATAAAAATTATTAAAAATATTTGGATCCATATAAATTATTTAAGAAGAATTAAAACTATAAAATGTGAGGAATGTTTAGTTTTCTTCAGAAAATCTTAAGTAAATGCCAACCTGAAAGAAAAATGTCCAACCACTAAATTTCTAATTGTTTTTTTAATAACCAATATCCCACAAATTTGCCGTAATGGCTCAGGGGTTAAGGCACTGAACTGTTATTATGAAGAGCTGGAGTTCAATCCCAGGTGTCAGCTTGAAGCCTATCCAGCTTCAGAACAATGGGTACCATCTTGTCTGCAAAGTAAAGGCAGCCTGTGTGCAGTGCCACATCTTCTGCGATAATCATGCTGTTGGTCTCTAAATTGTATAGCCTTAACTTCTATGAGCTACCTACCCACAACAGGCTGTTGCAGGAATTTTATTAATTTTTTTTTATCCCACAAATTTATAATAAAAACGCCAAGTCTCAGGGCGGATTACCCATTAGGACAGACTAGGCCATGGCCTGGGGTCCCCAATGATTAGGGGCCCCCTTAAAAAAAATTTTGTGAAAATAAATTTAAAAAAATTAAGAAAAGCAATGATTTTTAAAAAAAATCAATTTTAAATATATATTAATAAAATATGATAATTTTTTTAGTTCTAATTTAACAAAATAAAGTAAAATTTTATTTATTATTATTTTAAATATGCTTTCTCAAATGAAAAGATACATAAATACTTTCATATTTGAATAAATAAAAAATATATGAGGAAAAAATTTAACCTAAGGGCCCCAAAAATTTTAATGGCCTAGGGCCCCGGGTACGCTTAATCCGCCCCTGTCAAGTCTACAGATCTAGTTCAACCCTTCCATTGCAGTCAAGCTTTTTAGTGGCACCATTCTTTGAGCAGAAACCTAACTAATTTTGGAATATAGGGAAAACATTAAGAGAATTATACAAAAATTAGGTAATATAAGTAATAAAAAATACAAGAGCCTTATTTGCATAATTTAATTCAAAATATTATAACAACATACGAAAGTTATATAAAAGCAATAGCAACAAAAAAGGAATTACAAACTTAGGTTTTGCATCATTTTTTTTTGTTCTTTTTTTTTACAAAAGAATTTTCTAATGCTGACTTTAAATGAGGCTTCTTAATATTATTTAAACAGACTGAACAGAATGATTAAAGTACAGGTGAAGTGTTTTCACAGGGCCCAAAAGCCAGCCAGTTAGTTACAATGTGAGGATTTAGACTTTATACTAATGATTTTTCAGTGAAATGTTCATGAAGAAGTTCCTGATTCATCTTCTACTTCCAGTATACGTGGGCCATAAAGAAGCAAGTATGCACAATGCCAGTCCCCTAAAATAGACGAAATTTTTTTAAAAAAAAAACTTTGAACATAATTTTATTTTATTTTGTCAACGTAACATTTCAATATTTTCTACTTTGAGTTTCAAAAACATAAGGAAAGTATGTAAAGCTACCTCTTTTTTAAATAATTTTAATGAAATTAAAAATGCTTTATTAATAATCTTTGGATATAAAAATTTCCCATATTAATACTGTCACTAATTTGTGGTTACAAATTAATAAAAAATAGCATTAAAAATTTTTTAAAACCATTTTAATGATAGTAACTTATCATTAAAAAAAAAACATAGTAACGTTTTATTTTTTTGGTTGTTATAAAAACTCAAGACATCTAAATTGAGATAATATATTAAGAGGAAANCCATATTAATACTGTCACTAATTTGTGGTTACAAATTAATAAAAAATAAGCATTAAAAATTTTTTAAAACCATTTTAATGATAGTAACTTATCATTAAAAAAAAACATAGTAGCGTTTTATTTTTTTTGGTTGTTATAAAAATTCAAGACATCTAAATTGAGATAATTTTTTTTTTATAGATCTAGAGTTAAAAAATAACTAAAATGGAAACATAATATAAGTAATTTTGTGAACATGAAAGAAAAGCATATATTGAATGCAAATACTTTCAATAAAATGTAAAATTTATTGATAATTAATTGCTACATATAAAATACCCAGTTTTCAAAAATACCACGTTACTATAAGTTAGTTAAAATTTTTCATCAAATATAATTCATTTCTAAAATAATAATGTGAATCTTTCAGCTCTTGTGAGGATTCATGAATAAGAAACTATAATAAAGGTAAATTCACTAAAAGAAAATTATGAAAATTTTCCTTGATGTCAATTTTTATGTAGCTTTAAATAGGGTTTACAATCAATAATGGAAATTTCAATATATATAAAATTTTAATATAGATACAATAACTTTTTTCTGAAGTTAAGAATTATTCTTTAATAGCTTATACAGTTATGGAGAATTGAATACTCTAGATTTTGCAGTTTTAACTTTCCTACTCTTGTCTTAGGATCAGTAAAGCAAGTAATGAAAATAAAAAATGCAAATAACTATTTTACTTTTGATAAGTTTCATCCTTTACTTTTCCTCAAGTATTAGGACACAATGCAAAATGAGGTGTAAAACGGATTATATGTATTTTAATAATACATACTGAGATTTGTAAGATATTTAACATAAGTAAATAATAAATAAAAAAGAATAGAAAGAAGATAATAAAGAACTTGACTACCTCCTCCGGATAGTTTTAAAATTTCTTCTGATGGTACCATAGAAACAGTGTCGTCATCACATTTAAACCATTCATCTGCAAAGAGTAAATTTATCAAATTCAATTATGTTTGCACACATTCATTGCCATTTAATTAAAAAAGTAATCATGAACATATTTAATAGCAAAAGTCTAAGATAAACAATTTTTTAATAAAATCAACAAAAATAATGTTTGGAATTTATAATTTTTATTATGTATTTCACACATTTTTTTTTCTAATTTTAAAGTTGAAAAATTGCTTACTGTCAAATGTATGCTATAATTAGAAGGAAAATTTATTCCCAATTGAAATTAATTACATACATTTTTTGATTAAGTATAGTTATTTTTAAAAAGTTCTCTTAAATAAAATATATATACATTTTTAACTTTTAATATTTGAAAAAAAATATTTTACAATATTATGAATACAAATAAATAATAAGAGGCACATAATAATTGCATACTGTATTTTGCATACTAAATAAAAAATATTAATAGAAGTGACAAAAAAAAATAGGTACAAAAAATGTAATAGAGTAAAATAGGTACAAAAAAATTTTTCCAAAAAAGTACAAAAAGCATTATTCTAAACAAATAACAAGTAATTTCATGTTTTTTTTTTTAAAAAAAAAGCTTAACATTTACCTTTTTTTCTTTTCNGAGTAACGATTTTTAAATCGTGTAAAAACGAATCTCAACAAGTAACTTTTAAATCAGTTAAATACGAAAATCGATGATTTACATAAAAATCATCTAAATAAGAATCGCAATTTTAGCAGATTCTGGCCCAGTTCCTAATATTTAAAATTCTGTAAATCAGCCAATCAAAAGAAATTAAATATCAGCGGCCGAAACGAAACTGCTTAGGACTTTTTTCCTTTTTTTCAATCTATAGCGGAAGTCGCGGTTGTCAAGGCAACGGCGTACATGCCGAAATTCTACCAATTTTCTTCTGAACATCATTTTCTCAGGAGGCTACTGCAGGGGGGGGGGAGTTCGTCGCAAGTCCGACTATATCGTTCGTTCGACTCCCCAAAAGTTTTTGGAACATGGTCGGAAATTTTAAAAAGCCTTTCATCCCTGAAAAGATGAGAGTAGTAGGAGACTGCATTGTTTTACCAAGGACAACCACTTTTACCCCAGCCAGCAGATTGACATGTGAAGAAAGGTTTATTGGGGGCTTCAATACTTTCGCTCCGCGGGAGAAAAAAATTTTCAACAAAATATCATTTACTACATAAAAAAATTTTCCGCGCGGAAATTTATGAAAAAAGAGCGGAAGATATGGAAAAATCTGAAAAAAGCGGAAATCAGCGGATCCGCGGAAGAATCACATCCCTGTACACCCTGGGTTATGCTAATTGATCTACAATTCTGGCATCATGTGCTGCTCTCAAAATGATTCTAGGACTGCCTTCCTCACCATTGTTTCATAAGAGGCTCCGGCATCAGCTGATATTTTAAATATTCGGCTGGCCCTTTGTGATATAATTGAAACCCATAGAGAGATTGCATTATAGTGGGTGCCAGACCACTGTGGACTCCAGGGAAATAAAACAGCTGATTCCCTGGAAAAAAGAAGGCAACCAAAATTGCTCAAATAACAGATAAACTAATTCTTTTCTATGCTGCCAAAAGGCTAAGTGAAAAATCTATTAGAGAGAACCTTTGGTAAAGGAGGCAAATAAAAACTAGAAATTGATATTCTGTTATGGCCAAGAGACAAATCTCTCGCTACTTTTCGCATCGCTATATGGTAAGAATGCCTTTCCAAACATTTATATTGTATAAAAATTCCTCAAATCCTAAGTGCCAATTGTGCAACATTCGTGAGAGATGGACGCAAAACCATATGACTCATTACCCTGCTCTGGACTCGGGACACTTGTGGGAGAAATACTAGATACCTCGGCACAAGATGAACGATTTATAAACGTACTGAAGTTTCAGTTCTGTTACTGTTATCTTTGTTTCTTGTTCTAATTATATTGTTTGTTTTTCTGTCTATAGTTGTCTTCTAATCTGCAATTGGAAATAAAATTTAAAAAAATATTTCTTATTGTTACTATAGTTCTATTTGCAGAGTTGAATGAAAATTGCCTCATTAATTACTGTTACAATGTCACTGATTTGCACTATAATTACCCCTAAAAAAGTTAGAAATTTATAATATAAAAATCTAAAAAAAAAAAAAAAAAAAAAAAAAAAAAAAAAGATGGAACACGTGGAAATAATTTGCAAAGGGCACAGTAAAACAAATAGAAAACAAATGCTTTACAAACAATTTAGATATGATTCAACTTACCATCATCAAACCAATGAGACATTGCTTTAGTTTTTTTTGCTTCTTTCAGGGGAGGCTCTTGAGGAGCTAGCTTAGCCTGAAAAAAAAAGCTCATTTTACTTTTAAGCAAAATCAATATTTATGTTAGAAAAAATATCCCCACGATTTGCTCTTATATTTCCTATCTCCTCAAACCCCAGCTCCTGCATTTGAGTTCCTTACGTTTTTGTTAAAGAGAACAAGTTTTCATAATTTCCAAATACACTGCTCAAAAAAATTGAAGGATTAGAGGTTATTGTACATCTTGTATATAATAATGGTATATAAGCAATTTTTTTTCATAAAATGGGAAAAAAGAGTCACAAATGCAAATATTTCTTATTTTCTAACTTCGAAGAGTACAAATTTTGGGATTGATGTTGAAGATGACGCTTTAGCAGCAGTGAATTTGATTTGGCTTCAAATTTAATGTAAGACAAAGCAGAAAAGAATGATCGACATGCAGTAAGCAAGTTTTTTTTATGAGTGCAATGTCTCAATGCAGTCATTTAACTGTATCAGAAGCTTGGAGAGTTGTTGGCTGGTTAAAGAGAGACTAACACAAAACGAAGAAGCAGAAGCCATTGGATTTCATAAAGAGTGATTTCCAGGATCTGGAGCAGTTTCTCCGAGACTGAAAATGCAGGCCGAAGATCACAGCAAAGGCACAGAAGAGCAACAATGCCCAATGAAAACCGTTATTTAACGCTAACAGCTTGACTAACAGCAATATGAATGCCGTCCTTCTTAAACAACACCTTTGCTCGACTACTGACACTACAGTTTTGACACAAACTGTCTGAAACTGCCTTTACGATGTACGTTTGTTTGTATGTCGGCCAATGGTGTGTGTTACGTTAACAGCAAGGCACTGTCATGCCCACAGGAAGTGGGCAACAGAACATGTGAACTGGAGATGAAATGAATGGCGCAATATTCTTTTCTCTGACGAGTCCCGTTTTTCTGTCCCTTCTGATAATAGGCGTATTTTCACCTGAAGGGAACGTGGCACTAGAAACAACGCTGCGTTTGCTCATGAAAGTGTAAGATATGGCAGTGGGGGAGTGATGATCAATTCTGACATTTCCATTGATGGATGCGCCAATCTCCATATCATTCGAAATGGAGCTCTGACCAGTCGTCGACATAGGGATGAGATTCTGAGACCTATTGAAGTCCCTCACATTGCAGCAATTGGAGATGACTTCATGTTAAGGGATGACAATTGCAAGTCACATCATGCTAACTTGGTAAATGATTACCTTTTAGAGAAAGGAATCATAAGAATGGATTGGCCAGCGTGCTCTCCAGACATGAATCCAATTGAACATGTTCAGGACATTCTAGGCAGATGAATTATTGGACGCCAACCACTCCCACAAACTCCCCAAGAACTGGAAAGAGCGCTTCTAGAGTAGCGAGATACCACAGCCCTTTATTAATTGACGCAATGCCTCAAAGCTGTACAATGTTGCTGACCGTCCCGGGAAAACACACCCCCAACTAAAAGCGATTTTCTTTTAAAGAAACACCACTTTTTATTTATTTTTCTCATATGCACAAATTTTGTTTGTTTGTACTCAAATGCTCAATAAAATGCATTTTTTTCTGCCAAACAAATGTAATTTTTATCTCATATAGCCTATTAATACGTCTGTCGATAATGTATCAATCATTCAAACAATTCTCCAGATGCAAGATCAATCCACAACCTCAATATCCTTTAATTGTTTTGAGCAGTGTACAATAACCTCTTCACAACTGAGCAGTTCCAAATTTTTATTTTACTGCCATAAGATAAAGATATATGAATTATACAGCCAAGGGGCTAATCCCTTTGTGTACACATACGTGAGCCTCAGGTCTTAAGTAAAAGAATAGAAATATTTAAAATGTAAAATTTTACCTTAAGTAGAAACAAACATGCATATTGTTATAGTATTGTCTATTTAAATACAATGATGATACATGAAACTTAGAAAAAGAAATCACAAAAGATTTTTTGACATTTTTGTCAGCACATTGCAATACTGCTTTTAATATCAGTTTCGAAACTATTTTAATTATGCATACCACACAAAATTAATAAGTATTAAAAAGAATTTAATGTTAATGATAAAAAATATTTAATTCTTAGAGGTAAAATTATGAAGGGGGAAAAATCACCATAAGTTAAAGTTATTAAATATATATGGAACTATGGTGTGCAAAATGAAAAAGATATCACACTAAATAAATTTCATTCTAATGTTCAGATTTTCGTGTACTAAGTGACAATCTTAATGGTTCTTGAGGGTGACTTCAAATATGTTAATTAATTAGTGCTATCTATGAATTAAATTACAAAATTAGGCTCAAAAACATATTTTCTTTGAATAAACACTCTTTTTTTTTTACATATTTGGATTCTTGATTCTCAAAATAAGGGGTAAACAAAATTTCGAAAAAATTGGAGAATTATGAATGGGAGCTACATATATTTGGCAATAGTTAAAAAATAAACAAACAAAAAAGCATCCAATCTAAGTGGTTGCCATAAATGAGATATTTAAGATAACCATAGACTTCAAGAGAGCAGTACCTAATTTTACTCCATTGCTAAGCAACCAAGATCTAAGTTCAAACAGTTAAAAAACGAAATAATGCTCCAGCTCCGTGATTTCTTGGAGAGGTTTATTTATTAACAGTTAATAGAAAAATACTTTGAAGTTTCTGGGTAGTAGACATTTTTTGAGCTAATTTCTGATCAAAAAGCAAAGATTTCTTTCTTTTTGATATGCTTTGAAAAAATAAATTTGAATAGATTCATAAATTATTTAAGACTGTACAAGCTTTCGAAATTTAAACAGTTCAACTTTTAATGACTTCATTTATAAGAGGATTTGATACTAAAATCAAATTTACATAACTTACAATTATATACAAAATTTTAGGGATAATCATTTTTACAGCTTTGATCAAGTCATCTAGACAAGAAAGTTTAAAGAAACTAAAAAAGTGCCTGAAAATGTTTTAGTGGGTATAGTAATTATAACGACTATTCTCAAATTTTTATATAATTTACGATATTTATTTTTATGTAATTTACGATTTTTTTTTCTTCTATAACTGAAGAAATCGGTGTATGTTAAGTGGCATTTTAAAAATATTGAAATATGTTACAAATAACATGTTGCGATAATTTGTTGTATATTGTAGGATTCATGGTTTAGAAAATCACTCTATTCTGCCAAATTTTAAGTTACATGGTTTTCTTTGGATAAAGAAGATTTGCAAATAGCATCGTGATGTTTCGATGCATATATTTAGAAACTTATTTTTTCAACTTCACCATAAAATTTCGCTCAATATGGTCTTCAATTACAATTCGATACATTTGTCACCACATACCGCTACTGGAATTTCTTTGAATTTCTTCACTCATTTACAAACTTATTTCATGCTTCTCGTCATCACTAGATATATCTGATATTGTACTCTCCTTTTAAAAAGAGTTTGTAAGGTCCTTAAGACAATGAAATGGTGGCAACAAAACTTAAACTTTTAACAATATTGAAGCTACAGTTCTTTTGCTTTTTTAAAGGACCACATGAATCTTGTTAAAATCTTAAAATACAGATGTTTATTATTACGAGAATAAAATTATGATCAAGAGCCAAATGTAAAACAGTATAATTGATGATAAAATCTTGATTGCCTTAAAAAAATATGGAAATAAAAGTCAATGTGCTTCAAGCGTTCAAAAATAGATGCCCATTCTCAAGATATGACCAAAAACGCAAACTTAACATTAAGGGGACACAACTTCCAACCGCCTTAGTGACTAAGTTTTTAGAATAAAAATTTCCAGCTACTCGCAATTTTGAGGGTCAGTAATCCATTTATGTAAAAAATATACATATTTATTCAGAAAAAGTTGTTTTTACGTCTGATTTTGTAACTTAATTATTAGTTAGCACTAATTATATAACATATTTAAAGTAACTTTCAGGAGCCATTAAGATTGACACTTAGTGCTTGAAAATCCGATTATTAGAACAAAAGTTATTCAGGGTGATATATTTTTTTATTTTGAGCATTGTAGCTTTTTATAAAACAGTTAATTAAAATACACATACAAATATTACTAAAGCGATATCTTTCGAAATAGATATATCTTATATAGATTTCGAAATACTATGACATTTATCTTAACTACTACGCTGTCATAAATTTCGCCACACGATACAGAGATACACATAAATGGACTTGCAAGTTCTAGACTGATTTTTTTTTAAATATTAAGTAAATATAAATTTAAAAGCTTCATACAAATCACAGAACTACTAAGTCCAACAAAAAAGATTATTTTCAGAATAACTAAATTATGTAATACTTAAAATTACTATAATTTTTGAGCACATGGATTGTGTTATTTTTTTTTCGAAAATCACTTTTGTTTCTGTGGAATTTTACCCCAATAACTTACATTTTCTGCATCTCTTGGAATTCCCAGAAAGCTTAAACATCCATGAATGTTTCAGTAAGAAAAAAATTATAAATTTTCTTATAGCCTAATTTTCGAAGCTAAGAAGCAAAGGTCCACTTATAAGGACTGAGATAATGAAAGGGGTTAATATAGTTTGATTATTATGTTAGAATATAACACTAAATTCTCATTCGTTTATTGGTACAAGAGACAAAGCAGTGGTTATACCATGCCAAATACAATTTTGTACAAAATATAATGAAATCAAACAGTGTTACAAACTATGTTCAAAAAGAAAACAAGTGTTGAAACAATATATTAAAGTAAAAAAAGAAAACTAAAACTAATTTTCTAATCTAAAAGTGATCATTATTACCTTTTGCGCTTCTTCCACTTTTTTATCTTCTACTTCTTTAAACTTCGCTCGCATAGGAGTAAGTTTAGCCTGCAATTCTTCATTACACAATTCAAAAACATCTAACTCTAACGAAAACTTAACATCCTGAAAATCAGTAAATAATAAATATGCAGCAACTTGACTAATTTTAACAATAAATTTTTTTATAAAATTCCGAAGTGAGCAGCAACTCTTTCCTTTAAAAAAAGAACAAAAAATTGCATTATTACACTAAAAAGAGGTCAATTATTTACTTTATTTGTGATCTTTCAGATTGGAAATGTTGTTTCAAAAGGTGTCGATTTTAGAAGCATTATTTTATTAAATAACAGGATTATTTCCAGGGGTCTGTTTAGAAGAAATTTGGGTTCATTAACAGACCCTTCACAAAATATCTTATCATACAAACGGACCCTTCACAAAATAATTTATCTTTTAATCGGACCCTTCACAAATTTGTTTATCTTCATTATTGGTTTGTTAATCGAATAAACCCTTCCCGGAGGGTGGGGGGAGAGAAAGACGGTTAGAGACAGACAAAGTTTAAATTCAAAGAAAATATTTCTACTTTTACAAACATCGCGCGTGCATTCTTATTAATATTAAATCATATATTTTTTTTGAAAATAAATAATTGATCAATTTATATTTATTCATTAAATTAATTTATAGAATATTATGTAAATAAAAATTTATTTCTGACAATTTTTTAATTAAAATATTATAAATTTAAGAATTGTTTAAGTTTACTTAATGCGTAACACATTAAAAGTGATACATTACTTAGTTGTGTTACTTAAAATACATCAATTGAAATTATTAAAAATGTGAGTGATTTTGTTTCCATAATTCGTCCGAAATGAATATTCTGTGTTGAGCAGTAGAGGCTAAATACCAAATATTTGTATGTTGTACCTCTAATTTAGTAGCAGCAATTGCTGAGCAGAATTTTGTATCTATTTACGATTTAAAAACCTCTTGAAAAGGTTTTTAGCAATTTTTGCAATAACAGTACCCTGGTGGAAAGAATGTGACTTAACGCTTATTTTATATTCACAAATTATGAATAGTTTTTTCACAATTTCATAAAAACAGGACCTTTCACAAAATGTCTGGACAGTCCCCTGATTTAAACTATTGACAATAAACAAATATAACAACTATTGATTATTGGCATATAGGCATATAGACTATTATAAGGCATATAGACTAATGTTACAGAAACATCGCACACGTTTCTTTGAAGAACAATATAAGAACCTGAGAAGAATAGAAAAGAAACTACATAAAGCCATAGAACGCCCGATAGAACCAACGCCCGATAGAAACGTTTGAAAGAAAGATACTTAGAACTATCTTTGGTGCCATACCAGAGGGGGGATGTTGGCGAACACGGTACAACTTTGAACTTTATGAGCTCTATAAACATCCTCAAATTATGCAGATAATCCAAAGCAACCGACGAAGATGGCTCGGCCATATATGGAGAGGCTCTGAAGATAGCCCTGTAAAAATTGCCACCTTCAAGAACCCTCAGGGGTCCCGCTCTAGAGGTAGACCACCTACTCGATGGCTCAAAGACACCGAAAATGACCTCAAAGTCCTAAAACTTAAGAACTGGAGGGGAGTTGCCATGGACAGAGGGAGCTGGAGAAGGCGTGCTGTAGAGGCAGCCAAGGCCTGCAAAGGGCTGTTGCGCTCCTGAAGAAGAAGATTGATTATTGGTGAGTAAGTCTCTTTAAATAAGTTGAGAAACTTCTGGTAATCCAGAAGTTTTTCAAAATCTGCAGACTGTATTCAAGCAAAGAACAGTGCAAAAGAGAAGCTAGCTTGTAAATTGTTTCCGTTTAACCCAACATAATTTTTACAACTAGTAATATAGGTATTAGTTTTTCAGATATAACATTTAATTGAATAAAAAAGAATAACAAGAAAAAAATGGCACTAAACTCATTTACTGGGAATCACCTCAACTTCAAATATATCGAAAATAAAATAATGAGTCAGATACCCTGAATGTGTATTTTGAAAATATTTTCAAATAAATACACACATGTATTTTTAAATTTAAGATCTAATGCATATTTATTAAGATTTTATACTGTCTCATACTTTTCCAACAACCAGTATAATACTTTTAAAATGTACATAAAAAATAATTGAAAGTTTAGTATAGGAAGGCACCAAGTGGCATTAAAAAAAAAAACATGAAATCTTCACTAAAAAACCTGTTATCAAATTTATGCTTAGAAATTTTTTGTCAGGTCATTAAACTAGAAAGCTTCCTGCAGCTGCAATGTCTAAAGCTGATGTTTCTGAATACGGAAAAATGCCACTCAGAGCCGGCTACTAGTAAGCTCTTAAATTACATTTTAAAGAATATCAACAAGTAAGAAGTTGAGTGGAGGACAGTAAATTGCAAATATCAAGATTGACTTACCTTTAAAATTTTAGCATTTATGGATTCCTTTTCTTTATAATAAAACCTAACAAACTGTACAGTTAAATACATCGGTAAACGGCTAATTTTACTCTAAAAAGATATGAGAAAAACAATTTAGTTTGCAGTTTAAAGGAATTAAAAAAGTAAGTAAGCCACAAAACAAGTTAATAAAATATTTTACAAGAAATGTTTGTTATTAAGATAAAGATATTTTTTAAGATAAGGTTTAATTAAGTAAAACTTAGTTTAATAATTTGTATTGCCAAAATTTTTTCAAGAGACACTTAACTGAAAGAGTTACGTAACTCTAGAATACTGTATTAGCTTACTTTTGATATTATTTTTTAGTAAAAATGCTACAGTTAAATTTTTTCCTATGTTCATAAATAAATACATTATTTAAATAAAAAGTACGTCTACTGAATTTTTTTTTTTAAAGTTTGTTACTAAGATAATATTAATAAAATATGTTTTAAATCCATTAAAGAAGAGTATTAAAATATACACTATATGACATGAAGAATAAAAACTTATAGTAAATTATAATAGATTTTAAAGATTATTATAGTTTCAAAACTAATTATCAAACTAACTATCTGTTATGAAACATAATATATTACCGATATGAAATAGAAGGAAATGTATTAAAGTTCAGCAAAGTATTCATTTTTATCAAATAAATTATGATGAGATGTAAAAGCTTGCAATTTATCAAGGAAAAAATGCTCGAAAATAAATATATAAACTTACAGATTTTTTATATTGAGCGTCTCTTCCTAGAGTAGATGAAAATTTTGTGAGTGTCTCTTCCATACGCTAAAAACAAGCAAAAATACTTTAAAATCAAATAATAACAAAAAGAGACATTTCAGCATCCTAATTTAGAACGATTTTAACACACAATTTTAAAATAAGATTTACCTGCTTTAATCCAGTCAGCATAAACTTAACATCTAAAAAAGAATATGTAAATATAGATAATGAGAATTTCATAAATTAAAATAAAATACAATTGACCTATCAAAGAAATCATTAGTCTATGCCAAATGACAATGTTTTTTTTGTTTTTTTTTTAATATTTTAGAGCTACTGCACTTAATAATGTGATGTGCACAAACAAAAAGCAAAATAAAAGATTTGCACTGAAATTAACAAGTTTTATTTTTATAGCTTTTTCCTAAAACGGGAACCTTGCAGATGAACGATAGGTTAACATAGTCACATTTTTTCCGCCAACCCCTTTAACTCAACTGTGGAAATCACCAAATTATTTCATACTATTAGATAGGTAACAATCTTTTATAAATTTAGGAAAATTAGGTGGAAAAACATATTTTAAGAGGCAGAAATAATCAACTGCAGATTAATGCCTGCGTTTGATTATGACAGATCAACTACAGATAAGGTGGCAATTTACAAAATATACTTGTAAATATATATGTTAAAGGAAAAAGAATTACCTGTTGATATAAAACAACTTATTTGGAGAAAATTTTCTTTAAGATGTGTTTCTGGTTCATCCTCTGATTCAATACATTTTAATCTTGAATAATAATTAAAGATCATACATACAGTGCAAGAAAAAATAAAAAATTGACAGAATAGTAAAAAATTGCTTAATATATATATTATCTACAACCAAAGTATATAAACTGTCTGCCTGTTTTTGCTCACATAAAATCTAAATTCACTTTATTAATACAATGCAACTCTAAAATTCAGACTTTTTAACTCTAAAATTCAGACTTTTTAATTCTAACTTTGATACACATTGATGTTGATTGCTTGTCAGCTATACTTATGTTTTGTTACAAATAAAATTAATACTATGTTTAAAAGCACAACAAAAATAATGCCCTATCACTTTAATTAAGAAATCTAGCGGAAATTTTTTTCTACAAAATTTAGTACAGTAACTTTTAGTATAGGAAGAGATATTCACATGAGAAACTAAAGCTCTTAACTAACAGTATCATAAAAATTAAAAACCTAGCAAAAACATCATTCTAGTACATTTATTATAAATGTCAAAATTTTAATTATGAATAAATTACTATACAAAAACAAATAAATAGAAAAGACAGCAAAACGGAGAAATCTAAGTTTAATTTCCATAAAACACTTTTAACAAAAACTGCTTAGTGAACAACTCCCAAACAAATCACATTGAAAATTTGTAAGGTGGTTATATTTAAACACTCTAAGAAATATAGCAAGAGAAGGATAAATAGGGAAAAAAGATTTTTAAAAAATAAAAAAAAGCATAAAACATGGAGGTCTGTGGAAAAAATTCATGTCTGCAACTCCTGTTTCTTGGTAAAAAAAAATTGATTAAAGTGGTAGAAAATTAAAAACATAAATTTTGTATTTAAAAAGAAACACTTAAAAAAAATTTATAAGATAACTATTTTGCAAGCACATTTGGGTTATTCATTTGTGAACAAAATCACTTTAAATCAAACTTACTAAATCAAAAACCATGTATAACTGAAATTTTCCTACTTTCAGAAGGAAAAAAAAACCTCTGGTACCCTTATATTCCAATAACAAAAAACAATTTTTGCTTCAAAATATCAATACAATTTCATTTTCTGATTAAAGTGAAGAAGATCTTCATAAAATAATAATAATACAAGTTTCAATAAGTTCATAAAATAAGCTTCTAGAACTAAAATTGAAACAATTTTTACTTTGGATGTAAATTAAGAGTCCCCCCCCCCCCTAAATTTAAAGAATAAATTTTTATCACTTTAAGTGATTTATAATAATAATGTTGATATTTAAAATATTAAACATCATAAAGCAAACAAGATCATGCAATTGTTAAGGATACGTAGAATCAAATGTTCCACCAAAATACTGATCAATAAAACTAGTATATTTGGAGGCTGAAGCTTGGTCTGACAGGTCTTTGTTGGGAGCAGATGGCAATTTCTGCTGCAACATCCTCATCACTTCAGTCCAGCATTCATTGGCATCCTTAAATAAAAATTGTTCAATAAAATATCAAATACTTACAGAAATAAACAAAATTTATAAATTTGACTATGCAGTTGATCCTCGATTCACCAATACTGCATCTTTTGTTTTCTGTATGCATTGCCTTGTTTTAGCAGTACCGTCACAAATGCTATTCTTACAAAGCCCCTCCAACTTTTATTGCTTCTCGGAAAAATTTCTTCTGATGGTAGCTAGGCTAATGCATTACTTTTTTCTTATAAATTTGATTTAAAGTTATTTTTCATACCATTGCTTGCAAATGATTTGAAAGCTTATATTAAAAGCCCTTTATTCCAATCCTCTCGTGGTGAGGCTTTTAAAAGATTGGCAAAATTACCAAAAATTCTGTAAGCTGAAGTTTTTAATAGCTACCACTCAATAAAATATTTTATGAAAAGTGTAGTAGTTGGGAACCCTGATACGAGGGTTGCTATTTATATTTTCTGGCCAAATAATGAAAAAACAAATATGTAGGAACGAAATTGGTTTTATTGTTTTTCAAAATATTCTCCATGATAATCAATACACTTTTGTGTGCGTTTGAACCAATTTTCAAAGCACTTTTTCCAGTCCGATTGAGGTAACTCCAAAACATGCGTTTTGAATGCATCAACCGCTTCTTCGGGGGTCGAAAATCGTTGTCCAAGTAATTTATTTTTGATGTGTGCGAATAAGAAGAAGGCATTGGGTGCCAAATCAGGGCTGTACGGCGGATGACCCATCAGTTCGATCTTTCGCTCTGTCAGAAATGCCTTTGTTTGAGTCGATGTGTGAGATCTCGAATTGTCTTGATGAAGAATGATTCGCCTGTTCTTCTGCTTTTTTTTGAATTTCTCCGATGACTTCTGGCAAACAAATGGTCGTGTACCATTCAGAATTGACCGTCCTGCGATGCTCTAACGCCACTGTTGCCACATGACCGTTAATGCCGAAGAAACAGGCAATCATTTGTTTTGATGTGCTTCTTGTCGAACAACTTTTGTTGGTTTTGCCTCGTCTTGGAAGACCCATACAGTTGGTTGCTGTTTTGTTTCCGGCTCATATGCATAGATCCATGATTCGTCACCTCTGTAAATGTTATACATGGCCTTTGATGTACCTTGAACGTATTTTTCCAACATTTCCTTGCACCAATCGACATGAGCCTTTTTTTGAGCGCTTGTCAGATTATGCGGGATCCAACGCGAA